TGTTTAAATACAAGTACCACAGAAATAGTCTATGTCCGAGTCGGGTAACTGTGAACCTGTTTTCGCGAGCTCTTCAGAGTTACAATTGCCTGTAGGGTCCCCGGGTCCTCGTACCCATACGAGTTCGATGTTTCAATGTCTCGCCATCCTGTTTAAGGATGTCCGGCATTCCTGGACTAGCCGTGATGTAGAGTATACACCTGTCAGGGACTTGATTGCAGCTTGAATGTTGAGATACCAGAGCTAGTTTGTCGCTATTGCTATTTCGGCCTGGATTGGATTACAATCATTGCCGATATCTGAGATGAAAATACATCCCTTCACGCGTCCTACTCGTTGGCCGCCGATTAGAAATGCCATATTTATTTCAAAAATTGTTAATACTGCCCACTGTAATGTAGTACTTTTCGATAATCCTTTGACACTATATTTATTGTACAAATTGAAAATATGTATTTTATTTTGTTATTATATATTTACAAAATTTTGTTTTTGTTTTAATTATTGTTATTTTAATTAATTTTGTACACAATTTTGAATTAAGTACGTGTATTCTTTGTAAATTATTTTGTAATTTATTTCATTGATTAGTCTTAAATATCTGCATATAATACTCTATATGTACGTGAATAAGTTTTAGTTTATTTATTTATGTTTTTATTAAATATTATTTTTAATTTTATGTTTATTTATTTTTGTTTTTTTAAAGGGATATCAAAGATGTCAAGGCGAATGTATTCCATTACGAGCGAATAGTGTTTAACAAAGAATATTAGTGAAATTCTCTGATACCACATCAGTCAGTCAATCAATCAATCATAAAGTGTGAATTGAAAAATTCTAAATCAAACGCAAATTGTACTAAATTAAAAAAAACATAAATTTAACTAATATATAATTAAATTAAAAATGCCTTAAAATGATGAGATAACAAAAATTTACATACTTTTATACATAACATACATACATATACATAAATCATATAACATTTATTTAAAATATTATTTCGAAAGTAATTATTAGACAACGACATATTGATACATTTTTGCAAAAACAAAACAATACAATACATTCAATTACATATTACGTAGTCAATTTTGAGTAAAATATTTTTAGTTTTTTGTGTTAATTTCAATTAAGATTTATTCGATTATCTGTTCTAAACTAAATTTTAATACCATTTTAGTTGATTTTGTTTTCGATTTATTATATTAGTTAGATTTATTTTGTTTTTTTCTTTATTGTGCTTTAGATTTATTTGATTCAATTGTATTAAGATATGTTATAAATTGTAGTAAGAAAATATTTACAAACATACATTGCAAAAAAACATTAAAATTAAACAAATGAATAAAAGACATGCAAAAATTCAAAGAATTTTTGTTAAATCTTTTCTACTTCATACAAACAAATATCAAACAAAACAAAAACTAAATACGAAAATTTATAATAATGAAATTATTTTTAACAATAACAACAACAACAAAAACAATTTAATTACAAGGAAATTGAATGCTTTAATTTATGAGTATGAGTAGTTATTAAAACTTTAAAGTATTTTATAAATTATATAGTTGTTTTTTTTTTATTTTTTATTTTAGATAAATTTAATTTATAAAAAAGAAATTATTGAATTTAATAAACTATAAATTTTAAATTATACATATTTTTAATTGCACTTGAATAAAACTTATTTACTTAATTCAGTATCTTACTGTATGGAAGATCAAAATATAAAATATTTCTCTCACAACGTGTCCCTCTAAAAGTAAATATTCCCGATTAGAAGTTCTCAGTAGATCTAAGTACATAAATAAACGAACATGTCGTAAATTGTCTAAAAGGTATGATACCACTTTCAGGAAATCACCATATTACTTAGAAGAACTGATTCCTTTCACATAAAGGGTAAGAACTTGAATCGATCTCTACGTCCAAGAACTAGAACCGCTCTAGTTTTGTGTTAATTTCCAACACCACCCCCCCCCCCCCCCCTAAGGTGAAATCACTATATCATTAGGGTCAAAAAGTAATATGTTTAAAAGTTAACAATCATACAAATAGGGGCAAAAAATATACACGCCTTGTACCAAATTAACATTTTTCAATAACATCCGTTGACCAAGCAACGTTGTCAATATTACAACAATTTGTTGTTGCAATCTATATTTTATGCAAATCCATTGTCTAAAAGTTAACAAAAGTAATAAGCTCACTATTGACAACGGATTTTGAGCTTACCACGTTTGTTAACTTTTAGACAATGGATGTGCATAAAATTTAGATTGTAACAACGAATTGTTGCAATGTTAACAACGGTGCGTGGTCAACATTACATATTGTTGTTGTATGTATATACTTGACAACAGATGTTATTGAAAAATTTGGTGTTAAGTTGGAACCATGCGTGTATATTTATTTTTCCCACTGTGTAGGAATTTTAATTCCCCGGCCCCTGAATCTATCGGAATTCGGATGCTGTTTTCTAAAAATAAACCATGCAAAGTTCGCTTAAACTACCTCTTATTTTCTCTTTAACACAATATATCATAATACATTTTTAGACATTTTTTACAGGCATGTTTCTAATATCTTTCTTTTAATATACAATCGGGTACGGTACGGGTTCAAGATATCCGATTTGACTGAAAATATATTCAAAATTATATAAAAATAATTTTTTTCAGAATTTTAGTCATATTTCCGTTATTGCTGATTTTAAACATAGCTACATGGACTTCCCTATTTATAAAGATTCAGAATACACATATATATATGGGGGATTTCAAGTCAAGTGACCCAACATTTGAAACCGATGTCTTCCGATCGGAATGAAATTTGCACCAATGTTAGTGCTATTGGATAATAGACAAGATTGTTCAAGAAATTTCGGAGTTAAGTCAAAATTTGACATTTTTGCCGAAAATGTATTTCTCCTTATCTACTTAAATATACATATGTAACTTATTACCCACTGTTTGTGGAAAAATTTGTTCCGATTAGTTTAAATACCCAGCAAAAAAATCTGAAAATTTTGGTAATGGCCAGTAGTTATTTCATACATTACTTGGTAATGAGTGTTCATTATCATCCACATTATTTCATTTAGCTGAATAGGTTATTGCTGGTAAAAAATAAAACAATTTAGGTTTGTTATAGCCCAATTGTCTAGGGTGTTCATTTAACAAACAGGGAGTTCGTGGTTCGAGCCCTCCTGAATACCGCGTATTTTTTCAAAATGACATTCATTTATATTTTTTATAAAAAGCCATTCTAAAAATTACAAATGTAACATGTTAATAGATCATCGAGTAAGCGGCTGGAGTGAGAAACATAGAAAACAACTAATTGCCTGGGTTCGAATCCCGGCTGAGGAATTCTTTTATTTGTTGCTTTCTACATACAACGAAAGCAAAGTTTTTGTAATCAAATTATGAACCATTTATTAATTTGTTTAAGGTAGGTACATATTATTTGAACCTCGTCGAACAAAAAATAATTAGTTATTCACCCCAAGAGTAATTAGTTTCCACGTGATTCCAATATTACTTTCTAGCTTACTAGGTAATGAAAGTTTTTGCTAGGTAGCTATTGATCCTAATTGGAAAAAAATTTAATTTTGCAAAAAAGAATCCAAAATTTTAATTTTTTTTTTTAATATTTTTCCGATGATGTCAAACTTTGACCCACTGTAAGTCAGAGAGTTCTTGACCGATCTTGTTGAATTGTGTCTAAATTACTATCTAACAATAACGAAAAATACGTTCTTATTGAATGTTTAACCCCCGTATTCATAAAGATACCAATCGGTTTATTACGCACATTTTCCATACAAAATTCCTATAATAAACCATTAACAACTTTATTAAGCATTTATAAATATGAGGGTAAATCTTTGATATTTTGAAAACCATCTTAAATAAAAATTTGTGATTTTTTGTAGATGAATGAGTTTAATCATTTATGTGTAGTTTGCATTTTAAAATGAACATGAAAAATTAAAAAAATAATGTGTTCATTTAGTAAAAACGTCTAATCAAAGGTAAGTTTTTTTAATTTAACATAATTTATTTAAGTTGTGTTAATTTAAAAATTTTAAATTAATTATTTTATGTCGCATGTTTTCTTTTCATTAGATTTAATTAAAAACATTTCACCTTTAAGATTCACTGTAAATTATTGATATTTCTTCATAAACCAAAACTAAATAATAGTTTAACCTCTCCTAAGCCTAGGTCAGGTAAAAAGTAACCATTAGATATTATGACGTTCCGAAAAGAATCGTATTGTCACCTCAAATAATTTCTCACAGATTTTGCTTAAGTTGATTAAGCTAAATGAACTGTAAAAATTAAAAAAGTTTAAACGCATTTTAAAGCAATATGAACATACTTTGTGAAAAAATTAAAATAAAATACTTAAAATAAAATATTTTGAATAAATATCACCAATTGGTTTTAAACATAATAAATGTATAAGAAATTTAATTTAAAAATCTAACAATATATTTTTACATGAGATACATCTACTTGCCATCCGCTGTCTGATATATACAAATTAATATCTGAGATGTAATTCGATTTTTAAAAAAATTCAAATAATAAGTTCTGAATTATAATTTAAATTTCGAAGATACAGTGGAAAAATGTCTAGTGTTAAAAAGTCAAAAAAAAAAAAAAAATCGAACAATAAAAGAATTGCGAAAAATTAACCAGATGGGAAATACCTATGTATGTATGTATGTAAAGCGTATTTTAAGCGCAAAATTTTTTTCTAAACATATTTACATGTATAAATATAAATATAAATCTTATTAATATAAATAAAATTTAATCAGGATGTAACTTAATCAGATTATTCACTCAATATCGTTGGCTTTAATCTATGTAAATGTGCTGAATATAACGCATCATTTAAATTATTTTCAAATACATACATATTTCATTTTAAAATAAACAAAAAAATTACAAAAATCATTAACTTTTTGTTTTTCGTTATAGGACTTCAAGGAATTCACTGATGCCGAAGGTGTTATCTCACTTCCAACATCGGACTTCCATAAACCGATTTGTTATGAAATGCGACAAGCGGCTAATCGTGATCTACAGCAAACGCTTCCATTCGGCCTACTGACAACAGCAGCGGCGGTACCCCTACCAACTACCGCAACTATACCGTCAGCACTTCAAATGTCCAGCCAAATGCAACAGCAGCAGCAACAACAACTCTTGGCTGGCATCATCTCAGCCACGACGGGTACAACACAAACTGAATTGTTATATTCTGCCGGCAGCGGAATGCCATACACTGCCACTGGCGCTGCGCCAATTTCACAATCATCTTCGACCTCATCGTCGTACGGTACCACAACATCGACAACAATAGCGCTGCCATTAGATACGCCTCTGAGATATCCACCGTACATAACCAGCAGCAGTATCAGTTCCACTGTTAATAACTTCAACCACAACTACAATAACAACTTCAATACAACATCTCTGGGAACTTGCCATCCGCTGTCAATGAGCACAAGCCAACAAGGTGCACTACCAACACTGGGGAACAATTACAGCAACAATAATTTGAATAATTTGAATTTCAATAACAACAATGCCGATCTGGCGAGCGTAGACAGTTCTGATACGTATGCCAGTTGTCAAACCCACCCATTTTTGTCGCAAGGCGATCTAACGTCCGACTTTAACGACGAGGTGTGTGCCTTAGACATAGACATGGACAATTTGTATATAAATCCGCTGGAAAAAGATTCGGCCGGTAATACAACAACCGGCTATATGGTCGGTCTGCCGCCCACCCCCTCCTCTGGCCAGATACGGGCCCACGTCAAGAAGAGTGCCTCGGGTGATACGGCTTTGCGAAATTTGGCAGCCGGCGGTCTAAGTCCCATGGATGATGTTTATCAAAGTGCATTCGATGCCCACGATCGTGGTAGTCATATTAGTCTTAACGAGAATCCAGTGCCAAAACATCGTAAAACACGATTCCAGCAAAGCTTTACCGTAGCATTGCCACCACATTCCGCCGTTAGTGCAATTGGACAGTCATCGGCGAAACCACGAGCTCGATTCGAAGACTCGAAGTTGTCGCATGAAAATCTGGGAAGTGAAAGCAGTCCTGCGAGTAGTACGGGCAAAAAGAAACGTTCTTCGTTTATGCCCGGTAAAAGTTTAGCCACTGCCACTAAATTAATAAATCAGCACCTGTTTGGTATACAAAATGTTGGACCCAAAGGTAATGAAAGCTTAAAAGTAATATTTAATTTCGTTCTTGTTAATGGTTTCTAAGTTCAAATAGTCGTGTAAATTTTTAATTTTAATTTTGTGTATTTTACATAAAAATGGCTTCAAATTTTATTAATAAGTACGTGGAGTTGATTTTTTATTTGTTGATTGATTGCAGTTTCTTTTTAACTGTAAATATTTTTTTGTAAACATTATTGTACTGTGTAAAAATATCTTGCGTATTTGGTACAGTTAAAAATTTTATCTGAAATTAGCTGGATTTACATAGAAGGACAGTTATTTTTGTGCGTATAAACATCAGTACAAACCATAATATCCTCCCGACTGCAGTTGTGTCGATTATATATTTAAATTATAGTTAAAATATTTGGCTGAGATTAGAACTCGAATTATCGCGAGATTTTGTATTTCTTAAAAATAACTTAATGAATATATCATAATTTTAAAGGATGTTTCCCTAAATGAGCAATTAACCCTTTTATACATATAACTGATCTTTATTATAATTTGTTTTCAGACTTCTTAAAATATTTCACAATTTTTTCAAAAAAGTTCACTAATGAACAACTTGTTTAATTGATATCCCTACACCCCCATATCGTAAAAAATATTCAGTACACTTTCTCTAATATTCCTTATTGAATAGATTGATTAATGTAACAAGTTTAACATCATAATAACCCAGAAGTTCAGTGGAACAGTCCCGAACTACCTATTTAACCTCCCACTTAGGGCCACCATTTTGTCTTGGGAGGAATTCAGTGGCAACTGCATAGGTTATAAAGATACAGTCAGACGGCTAGTCCAAAGGAGTAAAGTCATGGTAATGAACCTTTTTCTTAAGTTTGTTTTTTAAGTGTTCACAGAGATTACTTGGGGACTGTAAAGTGACGAATGTCTCCGCTCTTGTTTACAAAGGGGACACTAAAGTGACGTCTGTCATCACTCTCGTTTAAAAAGAGTATATTCGTGACGTAAGACTAATTAGAGCCCAACAGGAGGTTAGACCTTAGTGGAAATGACTGTCTTTTTCGGAGGAATTGTTTCTTTGTCGAACTGAAAAGCAGTTTCAATAAAGAATTTCCCCATGATTATTATCTCGCTCTCGCTAAAAAATATCCAGTTTTAATAATGTCTAAAAAATTTGCAACAGTACTCTCTATCAGAATTTGATGTTCGAATTTTTGTTTTAATGTAAATACTGTACTGTTAAATAATTATATTTGTAATTGTTGCTGTTAACATTTATGTTATTAATATAAATTTGTATAATTATGTATTTATTGTATTCTTTTTTATACGTATTTGTTTATTTATTGTATATTCCCATTTGAAAATAAAAAATCATGTATATATATATATATACATATGTACATACGTTGGTGTTGTTTGCTTGCTTGTTTGATTGATTTAGCCAAATTTGAAAGTAAACATTCCTCATCGATAGACTCTATAGATGCATCGCCAAATTTAGAACATCATCGACGATCCAAGTCGATATTGAAAAATAAATCGGATGTGTCGCGTGTACTGGCAGATCCTGAAAGTGAACGTCTGCTAGCGGACAATATGTCTGGGTCTGGCGTCTCAGATAATGGCACTGTCATGGTAAGTACTTCTTTACAAAAATTCATTAAAGTGTCTTATTAAAAATTTGTAATTTTTATTTTACATATAGGGCGAGTCTGGCAGTGATTACTCACCGAATAAATTACCTCATTCAGTTTTAGCTAAGTCAATATCCCCACCACCCCTTAGGCATCGTACCCTAATGCAACAACGCTCAGGTCCGGCTAATCTACAATCGAAACCGACCAAATTTCAAACACCACGCTATCCGGAGGAACAAGCCTTACGTCAGGTTAAACCGGTACTGGCACGTTCCGCGGCAGCATCTCATATGTCTGGTGATAGTAACCGTTACGATTCAACGAATAGAGACAGTAGTTTAGGTAAGTTAACTAATCGATTCAGCAAACTATTTGAATTCATCAACTTAAATAAACTGTTTGTTTAATTAAAATATTACAATTTTATTTGTCTTTCGTTAATGTCAATGATTCATCATCAGTCATATTCGATGCTGCATTTTAATCGAGATCATCTTTAAAACTTAAAAATTACTCTTTCAAGAACTGCATGTCTCTAAAACATTCCAAGCATTCAGATTTTTGTTTTGTTATGGATACCTCTAATTTTTGGTAGTAGAAATACATATTTTCAATTATCAATTATTTGCTTCTACCTCTCTAATTGGTAATAATTGTAAATCATTGTTAGATATTTGTAAATTTGGAACAAATACAAAATTATTAAAGCACTTCAAAATTAAGCACCTCTAATTTGCACTTTAATATTTTATTGAGTCTACTCACTTCTATCTCCTCTGCACAATGACAATTTTCACAAATAAATTGCTTAAATTAAAAAAATACCTTAGTAAATTAGTATTATATAGTACATTTTTCTTAAATTAGAAATACATAAATAACTACAGACAGTTTTTTTAAATCATAATAATTAAAAAATATAGTTTTCATTGGCTAGATCAACGGTCTGACATTATCCTAGTATGAGTCCCTGCTCAAAGGAACTGCTATGGAAATGAACAGGTATATGAGTTAGCCAGAACGACTGTACATCTCCAACGACGATTTACTAGCAACTACATTAGGTTTTATCAAAAATCTTAAATAAATTAAAAAGGCTAAATATAGATGGAATAGTCTAGACACTTGTAGAGGGGCCAAATTAATGTGGCATTCTTTCTATGAAAAACGCACTAGCCGCTTATAACCCGAAATATGCAGGATGTATCGAGGTTGTTGGCAGTAATGAATACTGTCACAGTTAGAAAATAGCGAAAAAGTTCTTCTATCTTCTCTGCGAATGCCTTGCTCTAGCCACCAAGAGAAACTGATTCCTTTTCAATTACTTCAAATCGCTGCTTTTAACAGAATTATATACAAATATAGGTTAGGTTGATAGGAGGATGTATACTACATCAAATCCGAAGAAATGCACATAGGCCACTATCGGGCCTGTTGTGAGCTCCTTTTCATGAAAAAAATTCACTGAATGTATTATTTTTCAATGTTCAGAAACGCAGTTTCCTGGACGTAATTCCTAAGAATTCTTCAATCAGTGTTAGTCAGGAATGTTATTTCCGGAATAACATCACTTCCAAGCTACTTGGATCTAACTTCGACGAATGCCTAACAGTGGCAAAGATTTTCACTGTCCTCTCTATATGCTCTACATTCGTCTGAATCTCCACGTCCAATTTTGTATAAATGGGCTCCTAATCCTATGTGTCCACTCAGAACCTCGGACTTGCTCATTTTGAGAAGATTTCCCATCTTGTTCTCATCAGGGTCACCCCATAGCATCTTTGTGGATCTACCCACCGTTCCATTATTTCAATGGGACTTATGGGATTCTCACCCATATTATTAATTGAGCTTTTGTTGCGTCGTTACCTCTTTGCTCTTTCGTTTCCGACTACTCCCGAGTGGCCTGGTACCCATATGATGCTAACCTTACCTCTGGGAGAATATTCAGGTAAAGCTTTCCTACAATCCAATACGGTCTAAGATTTAATTCTAACACCTGATATCGCCCTAATTGCCTTCTGGCTGTCGGTATGTTTATTCTAATCCAATTTACATATTCCGTTATTGCTCGGACTTCTGCCTGGAAGCTTATGTTATGATTAGGTAAACGATGGTATATTTCTGTTTCTGGGTCTTCAATGTAGAACCCCAGGCCCACTTTCTCCCCCAATTTAGAGCGTTTCGGATTCCTACCGTAATTTTCTCTAATGTTGCGCTTGACCAAGACATTCTACCTGGTATCAGCGTTTCAAAGTTTCCGACATATTCAGTGTCTGGTATGCGATCAGGTACGTCCGATGATTGTGCATAACCTTCCAATGTGTCCTATAACCGCTTTTGGCCAGTTCGTCTAAAGTAAAGAGCATATACAAATATTAATATTAAAAAAATCTGTGAGAATTAGTATCGTTTATCAAGTGCTATTCTAGACTTTCTGAAAAACATTGATTTAGGTTATCATAGGGTCGAGAACCTCGACTGTAATATTTTTCTCATTTTTTATCATTTCACAAAACTATTGCACATTAAATATTATTGTATACATATTAAAAAAATTACAAACACCAACAAAGTATATTTCATAGTAGAAATTTAAAAAATGATTGTGTTAATATTTAGTCATACCATTCGCAGATTCCGAAACAACATTTACATCGAATGTTAATTTACGCAGTGAAGCAGCTGATAGTGGAAATGATGGCAGTGGAGATGCTGGTGGTTCAAGTGATGAAAATCGATCACTGTTACAACGTGATAATTCCAATGAACGCACAGAGGAACAAGGTGATATTAGCGGTTCGAAAGCGTAGCAATTAAAGAAGGACAAAGCTAAAAGTGAATAAAATGTATTTCATAGCCAATCACATCCACCAAAAACACTTTTGTCTGACACTGTGACACGCATACTTAAGTACATTCGTACTACCACTAAAAATGACAATTCTATTGGTCATTCTTATCTGGTGGTAATAAAAGATAAAACCAAAAAACAAAATGAAAAATATCCTCGAACAGAATGTGAATATGAAAAAGCAATGAACAGTATTTTAGTCTGATTTAATTATTTATTTTTAAAATGATATTACTTGAAAAAATACAATATTTATTGTAAAAAAAATGTTAAACAACCAAAAAATCCCACTTGCAAAATAAAAACTAAAATCAAAGTTGTAAAAATTTAAACTTAAATAAATTTAGTTAAGCTTCAAACTAAATAAAAAAATTAAAACAATCTTTAAGGTAAAAGGCAAACAAATATGTAAAACTTCAAAATTGTACAGCTTCACTGTTTTTTATACATGTATGTAATTACTAATAAAAAAAACAAGAATTATTAAATTATAAATAAATTATATCTAAATATAGTACGAGTACATGTATTTATTATACTAGTATTTACACTTCAAACTCAAAACAACAAAAAATCTAAGACGGAATTCAAAACAAACCAAAAATCCAAAAACTAACAAACGAACACAATTTATCACCACAAAAGCCTATTTAAAACAAAAACAAAAAATGCAAATAAAAAAAGTATTTTATATTTAGTCAACAAAATACAAAAACAAAAATTAAATAAATAAATTGAAATTAATATAATAAACACTTTATACAACAAAAACAACAACTACTTAAATAATTATAAATAAAAAAGCATCGATTCTTTATACACTCAACAAAGAAACAAAATCTAAAAACAAATCCCTAAAAATAATATACATATATTTACAAAAAAAATAAAAACAAAACTTGCAAATTTATTAAAACCAAATAGATTATAAGAATAAAAAAAAATTATTAAGAAATACTATACTATATTGCTTCATTCAGGTCTAAATCATGTTAAAACAAAAAGTATTAAAAAATAACTAAAATTAAAAAAAATCCAAAAATTTTCCTAATTATATTGAAAACATTTATAATTTTTTACAAATATTTTGCAATCCATATAATTTATAGTGATTAGTTTAATACACTTTGAAGATGAATCAAAAAAATATTAAGTTGGCTAGATTCCCAAAAGTTGCAAAAAATTCCAAATATTTTAAATTATTGAATTTTGGTGAAAGACCCCTAGTCTTTTGGCTGATTGATAGTTTACACAATATAACTTACATAAAAGAGGGCATGTGAAATCTAAGTATTCCTTTTATTAATCCTTGTTTTGGGATTTTTGAAAAATTTTATTAAAATTTCTATACAAAATCTACTTAAATCCGAAGAATTTTGAAAAATATGTCTTAACGTAACACCTGTACAGTGTCACATTTATTACAATCTGGTACGACAAAAGTCTAATTTTCAGCCTGTTCAAAACTGACTTAAGTCAAAATTTTATTTTCTCGTGTTTATTTGCTTAAAACCTTAAATTTAAGCTTTGAACTATGCACAACCCAGCAAGTATTTTGAAGATTGTTGGTTGATTAATCAGTAAACTGAGTATTTTTGAACTCCTTTTTATGACCTAAGAGTGATTAATAAGTTGCACGCTTAAATAATGATCCGAAAATGATCCCGATATATAACTAAAAAAAGATTTTTTGAAAAAAAACAATAACAAAATTTATAGCAATCATAAATTGATCATCCTGGTGTTTAAAATATTATGATTTTAAAAACTTATTTTGTGATCATAATTCAAGCAGTTGGAAGATCTAAAAATGTTTTTGTTTGTAATGGAACAGAAACACTTTCACTTAAAAATTACTCAAAAACGATTAAAAAATGAGTCGAAAATGATTAGAAGGCACTTATAAAATACTTATAAAATACTCTTTTAGATAAGTTGCTAAAAAATTAGTTAAAAAAATTAGTCTTTTTGTTTATAATATGAGTTTGTATAAAATAAAATTTCTGTAAAGTTAATTTAAATTATGTTATGCTTTAATTATAATTATAATAATTATAATTTTCTATGTTTAACAATCTTCTGCGGAAGATAGTTGAGTGACTAATCACTAAACTAAGTCTGGTGATTAATTCGTAGCGAGCTTAAAAAATTATCCCAATGATTAAAATGTGATTTATTCGAAAAACAATAACAAAATCTACAGTAATCATAAATAGATCATCCAGATGTTCTAAATATGATTGTTTATACATTTATTTTGTAATTTTATTTCGCTCAGTCGGAAGATTAACAACTGTTTTCTGTATTATTGTATTTGTTTGTAATAGACATAAAAATGACACAGAAAAGACTCAAAAATTACTAAAATATGATTCTAAAAAAATTCTAAAACGACCAGCAATTCAAAAAAGATTTAAGAATGACTCAGAACAGACCGCTTATGTGTTCACAGAAGAGTCATAAATGACTCGAATGTGATCAAAAATGTCAAAAATCTGGGATGTTACTTGTTTATATCTGAAAAATATCAGTGTAATTGTTGTTAACTGCAGAAAAAAAAACTGTTTTTGAGTTGAGTCACTTTTGAATTGGGTGTGAGATATGTATGTTCACAATAAGAGTTAGAATAACCTCACCAAAAAAGGGGCGGATATATCAAGCCCACTTCGTATGTTAGTGCTAATTTTGGTATTCTTGAGTAAAAGAAAAAGCAATAACTGCAAAACAGACAAACTCAATCAAATTTTATAAGTTTAAAATGCTTAAAGTGAGAAGGCGTTGATATAATAAGGACACGCGTACATAACCATGCCTACAACCAAATATTTTGCCCACTTTCAGCTATTATTTTCTTAATAATTTAGTTAAACATTTTTAACATTATAGTTTTTTTAATTTTAAAAGTAGGCGTGGTCAAACAGTTTACTTATATTTGTTAAGCTTATTGCTAATTTTAGTAAAAGTTTGCTTTTAAAATTCACATAATAACGAATGTACCTTATAAGTATAGTCCGGCGATCGCTTTGGACCAATTTCAAAAAATTCATTCCATTAAATATTAAGTTTTTGTTAATTTTCTGTATGTCTTGCAAAAAATATTATTATACCCACCATCAAAAAAGATGGTGGATTTTGTCATTCCGTTTGTAACACATAGAAATATTGGTCATAGACCCACAAAAGTATATATATTCTGGGTCCTCATTAAATTCTAAGACGATCTAGCCATGTCTGTCCGTCTGTCCGTCCGTCCGTCCGTCTGTCTGTCTGTCTGTCTGTCTGTCTGTCTGTCTGTCTGTCTGTCTGTCTGTTGAAAGCACGATAGAGTCCGAATGGAAAGAGCTAGAGGGTTGAAATTTCACATAAATATTTCTTATAGGTAAGGTTTGTTTGGTATTGAAAATGGGCAATATCGGTCCACGTTTTCGGATAGCCCCCATACAAGTGGCCCCTCGAAAAGCAGCTTTAACAGCCATAACTTGTTTAAAAATACGAATATAGCGATGAAATTCGACATAAGTAAGTTTCTTATGATCCAAAATCAATATGCGAAATTTTATGAGGATCGGTCCATAACTGACCCTACCCCCCATATAAGGTCCCCTTCAGAAAATGACTTTAACGCTCATTACTGGCTTAAAAATACTAGTATATAGATGAAATTCGACATAAGTAAGTTTCATACGAGTCAAAATCTATCTAAAAAATTTTATGAGGATCGGTCCATGATTGACCCTACCCCCCATATAAGGTCCCCTTCAGAAAATGACTGCAACGCTCATTAATGGTTTAAAAATACGAGTGTAGCGATGAAATTCGACACAAATAAATTTAATACGAACCAAATTCTATCTACCAAATTTTATGAGGATCGACCCATAATTGACCCTACCCCCCTATATATGGTCCCCTTCAGAAAATTACTTTAACGCTTATAACTGGCCTAAATATACGAGTATATAGATGAAATTCGACATAAGTAAGTTTCATTCGAGTCAAACGAGGTTTGATGGTGGGTATATAAGATTCGGCATAGCCGAATATAACACTCTTACTTGTTTTTATATTATAAAAATTTTATAATTTTTAATCTTAGCTTAATACACTTTTTTATGAAATTTAAATTTAGTAAATATCTAATTCTAAATAGAAGTTATTCACTTTTGTAAACATCATATTATTTGGCCTATTTAGAAACTAGAAAGATATACTTTAGAAAGTGGAACTTTAGAGTCAGATTTCTCTATAAGCAAACATTTTATCGTATATCGTCCGATATTTCCCAGCACTGGAAGTCTTAGGTCACATATATGTATGTATATAAAAGTCGCGAAAATTGAAAAAGAAAGAAATTGTTCTGACTATTGTCGTTCTATATCGGGAAAATGTGGCACTGTGCCCTGCGTTTTTTTTTTTTTTTTTTTGACGTTTACAAAAAAAATTACTCGTCCACCGAAAATAAAAACATTTTTAAAAATAGACAAACTTAAACTTTTCTAGTACTCAGTTCAAAATTTACTAATTCTTAATTCTGATCTTCCATACACGCAGAGAAAAAACAAATAAATAATGATAACTATGTAAACATATTATATTATTTAGAACCATATAAACTTTTAAATAACCAATAAAACTAAAAAAATAATTACAGTTTACGCCGAACACATTAGATTAACCATATTATGTTTAATATGTAACCATAATATGGTTACTTGAAGCCATGTGATTACTTGAAACCATAATATGGTTACTTGAAACTACAATATGATGCTACATTTCATTATGATGCTCAGTTCAAAATTTACTAATTCTTAATTCTGATCTTCCATACACGCAGAGAAAAAACATGGTTAGGACAAATATTATATGTTTTTTGTAACAATATTTTGTTGTCATAACCAAACAATTGTTATTTTTTATACTTTTGTTCCTGTAAATATTTATATGTTTATGACAATTATAAATTTGAGAACGATTCTCTGAAAAATAATTATTTTTACAACAAATAAATAATGACAACTATGTAAACATATTATACTAATCAGAACCATAAAAACATTCAAATAACCAATAAAACTAAAAAAAATAATTACAGTTTACGCCGAACACATTAGATTAACCATATTATGTTTAATATGTAACCAAAATATGGTTACTTGAAGCCATGTGATTACTTGAAACCATAATATGGTTACTTGAAACTACAATATGATGCTACATTTCATTATGATTAATAAAACTATATTATGATGAAATATTCGGACTATATTTAATCATAATATGATATGTTATTATACTAATAATGATCATAACATGTTTTAACTTTAACCATAATTCTAACCATAATATGTTGCTCTTGGATTATGGTTACCACAACTATTTTTTTCTCTGCTTGTAGTAACCAGAAAGTTATAATATGGAACGTGGGACTTTAGAGTCACATTTCTTCATGAGCAAATATTTTATCGTATCTCAAAAGTTTAAAAAAAATTTATTTTGAATTTTTTTCGTTCCTTATCGGGTAAATATGGCACTGTGTCCTGCAAAGATATTTAAAACAAACTGCAATTTTGACGTTTGCAACAAAAAGTCATTCGCTCACCGAAAATAATAGACAAAATTGAAGACTTTAATATGATAGATATTTTCTAGTACCAGTTCAAAATTTATTAATTCTGATCTTCTATAGTTGAC